GTGTAACTGATAAAACTATTCCAATACCAATAACAAATCCACTCACTACTCCAAATGTTTCTAATACTATTTCTTTCCATTGTTTTTCACTAATTGGACTTGTACCATTCAAACTATTTTTAAATTATTATTAAAATTATTATTAAAATTATTACAAAATTTTTTCATTCATTTAATTGAATAAAAAATATTGAAGTAAAAAATAATATTATTATTTAAATATATCAAAACGATATGAAAACATACATTTCCTTTGGAGTTGGAGAGTAAATGACTAATAAAACCATTGAAACGATACCAATAGAAGTCAATAATAATCCAGATCCTAAAATCATCATCCAACAAACGACGTGTGATTTACGATCCTTTTTTAAATTCCACCATTTCTTATTTGTTTTAGAGGCTTGTGTTGTATTGGAGTCTTTTTGATTATTCAATAATAGTGAATTATGAGGTAAATATTCATCACCAGAAATATCATCATCATCATCATATCGGTCGTGTAAACTACTAGTTGAGTTTGGATTTGTTGACTTACTGAAGGCTTGTTGTTGTTGTTGTTGTTGATTTAATCCAGGTGTAAGGAGTGAATCATTATCATCGTCATGATCATCATCAAGTAATCGGTTATTCATCTCTTTGCTCTACAATATATATATGATACAATAGAATTGTTTTTTTTCAATGAATTATTATTGATGAGGTGTTGTGATATTTCGTGAAAGAGAGCGCTGTTGAGTATTATAAGTTATGAAGGCTCCAATAGAGGTGAGTTGGAGAGAATCAAACGTTAAAATCAGAGAAACAACAATAGTAGAGTCAAATACAAAGGCTAATTGAATAGATTTGAATCAGTGATTTTTTTGTGATTATGATGTGAAAGGAAATGACAATGACATTGATGATCGCATTATTATTGGAAATTGTGCTCCAACAGTGAAGATATTATTGAATAATAATCATTTCGTTTTACAATTTTAAAATTAAATTATTTATTATTATTCAATGCTACTACCACTTTAGTGAATTTCGTCTGACTTTTTAAATCAGTGGGAGTTAGCAGGATGCCCTTAATCATAAAGTTATTTCGACATTGTTACCTGTTAATAAATTCTATTGAGAAGTGTCTTAGTTCAAGAATCGTTCAACCCGCCAAAATGTTCTAATTTTTAATAGAACGTTAAAAACACTTTGAATCAAAAAAAAAGCCTTCAAACATTCAACAAAGGCTTTGAACACAAATTCATCATCATAATGTTAGAAAAGAATGGAGTAGTATTTGTACCTGCAAATGCAAAGCCAAAACCAAGATCAATGCCTTCTTCCGGAGGAGGTGCACCACCTAAAATTAAGAAAGCTTCAGCATCTAAAAAGCCTTCCTTTAGTACTGGTGTTAGTAATAGTACAACAACATCAACAGCAACAACAACTAAAGCACCTCCAAAAACACTCGGATCAATTACATCATTTGCAAATGATATGAAATTGAAAAGTAAACAACAAGAATTACCTTCAACAATATTTCCCGAATTAGCTAGTTTTGATTTAAATCAATGTGATACCTATCAAGGCTTGTTATCAAAATTAAGTGATGAACAAATGAATGTTTTGAAATGTGTAATGGAAGGACATTCAGTTTTTATTACAGGTGTTGCTGGAACTGGTAAAAGTTTCTTATTAGAATGTATTATTCAAACTTTATCAAATGTTCAACAAAAGAAAGTTGTGGTGACTGCTTCAACTGGTATTTCTGCTGTTAATATTGGTGGATCAACTATACAGTATGTAAATATTTCTAATTATTATAGTATACTTATATTTAACATTGTAATTATATTGTAATACTTTATTTAAAAATTAATTAGCTCATTTGCAGGTATTAGAACATTGGATAATGGTAAAGTTGATAGTAAAACAGCTTGGAGAAATGAAAAAGAATGGAGAAGTGTTGATGTTTTAATTGTTGATGAAATTTCAATGATTGATGGTCAATATTTTGATCAATTAGAATCAATTGCAACTGAAATTAGATGTTTCTTTGAAATTGCTGCATCTAGAGCACCTAAAGAAGTTATTATGAAACAATTACCTGCATTTGGTGGAATTCAAGTTATTTTATGTGGTGATTTCTTACAGGTTTGTTTTTTTTAATGATTTTCAATCATATTCACACCAATCAAATCTAATACCATTCAATTTAATCTCAAAATATAATATTCATATTCACATTAATCTAATCTAATAATAATAATTCTACTACAATATCTATTCAAAATCTATCAAATATATTTATAGTTACCACCTGTTAGTAAATCATTTAAAAATGAACATGGTGAAACTATTTATCAAAAAAAGGAAATGTGTTTTAAAGCTACATGTTGGGAACGTACAATTAAATATACATTTGAATTGAGTAATGTATTTAGACAGGAAGAAAAAGAATGGATATCAATATTAAATTCTATTAGATGTTGTCAAACTAATAATAATATAGTACAAACATTAAAAAGATTAGAAAATAATAAATTTGATGGAATTGAAAAGGCAACAGTTATTCATACATTAAATAAGAATGTAGATACAGTGAATGATACAGAATTATTAAAATTATCACCACCACAATATACTTATAGAGATCAAACATTTTTTTCATATGGAGATTATGATCCAAAAGTAGATCATCCAACTATTAAAGAATATATTAAAAGTGCTATATTAACAAATTTTAATTCATCTAATGCATCACAGGAAATTAATTTACGTATTGGAGCACAAGTAATGATAATTAAAAATGATTTTACAAATCAATTAGTGAATGGAACAAGAGGTGAAATTATTGGTTTTATTAAACAAACACCAAGTGATTTACAAAGTTCAAATAAGAATATTAAACAATATGCTGAACAATATATTAATGAAAATGGTGAATTATTTCCAAAAGTGGTTTTTACAAGAGAAGAAAATGGAAAGGAAATTAAAATTATTAAAATTGTACATCCTACCATTTTTGAAACAGATGGTCCAAAAAAATCTAAAGGTGTTAGAATTCAAATTCCTTTAAAATTAGCTTATGGTATGTTTTTTAATTTAATATTTAATAATTTAATATTTTTATATTAATATTTAATTTATATTAATATTTAATATTTAATATTTTATATTTTTAAATTTAATAATAATAGCCATGACAGTACATAAAACACAAGGATTAACATTACAAAAATGTGTAATTGATTTATCAACAGTGTTTAGTCCAGGTCAAATCTATGTTGCATTATCACGTGCAAAAACAATGAAATATTTAAAAGTTACAAATTTTAATTCATATAATTTAACTAGACATATAAATAGAGAAGCAATTGATTTTTATAACAAACTTAAAAAACAAGAACAATATTCAGCACAAGATACAAGTTCAAAAGATTTATTTATTGAAAATTTATTAAAAAAGAATGAAGAATCTTTTGAAAAGAGAAGAAAAATATTTGAAGAAACTTTACAAAATTTAGATTTATCAGATTTTACAAGTGGTGGTGGAAATACAAAGAAACGTAAAAATGATTCAAATTCTACTCAGAGTGGAACATCTTATCATTCACAAATTATGAAAAAATCAAAACTTAATCCTGGAAGAGCAATAACATCCAACAGTAACAGTAATACATCTAAAAGTTATGGTAGTAGTGGAAGTGGAAGTGGAAGTAGTGGAATGTCAAAGAGTGGTAAATTATATTGTGTTTGTATTGGTAGAAGAACAGGTATATTTAATACGTGGGACGAATGTAAAATTCAAGTTGATCAATTTCAAGGAGCAAAATTTAAATCATTTACTTCTAGACTTGATGCAGAAAAGTACATGAAGGAAAATGGATGTACAAATTATTAATCTTCTTTTGAAAGAATATGATCATTTTAAAAAATATACAAATTTAATAATAATATATGCGAGTGATTTAAAATAAATTCTTTTCCTTTTTCAAAGAGGTTTGTTTCCAATTTTGTAAAGTAGCAAATTTCTTTTTATCCATTCCAAATACTTTTTGGAATTCTTCATTTGATAAATAAGATTCTAATTTAGATTTATCAATACCTTCTGGAATATTTGCACCACTTGTTAAAATTGCATAACTATAAGTTTTGTGAGTAAATAATTTGTTATATAATTGTAAAACATTTGAACAATGTTCAATTTCAAAAATGGATGAAGAATGTTCAAATAAATTCTTTTCATGTTTAGAAATTTGAACATTAATATTTGATCTTCTTGGAGTTCTTGGTGTTTTAACAAAACCCTTTGAAATTAAATTTGGATCTTGTAATTGTTTAAATCTAACTTTGAATGAAGTTGAATTAATTGACCATGAAATGAAATGTTTTGTAAATTCTTGTGGTTCTTCCATTTCTTGAATGACAAGTAATGATTGTTCATCTGATTTTTGTAAAAATTTACTTGGATCAAAATCATCCATGTCATCATTTTGAGGTTTCTTCTTATAAAATTCATCATTACAAGTTTGTGATTTCCATGTATAGTAATATTGAATGGTAGTTGAAAGTGCAAATTTCTTTGTTTCAATATTACATAACATTCCAATCCAAACATAGATTTTACCTTCTAAATCAAGACAATCTAAAATAAAGGCTTGTGAAGAAGATAAATCAATTTCACCAAATGGATCCAATCTATTTAAAGTAAATTCACCTGAATGATCATTAATATTATAAAAGGAAATATTATAATTATTTTTAAATTCAAAAGTATTTAAATAATTATTAAATCTAGAAATAAAATATTCAAATGTTGGATCAATTTCCTTAGTAAATACATTTTCTAATAATTCTTGATTATTTCCATTTATAGTAATTATATTATTATTATTAAATAAATTTAAAACATTATTTTCAATAAATTTCTTATCAGATTCTTTACAATATTTTCCATAATAAATAATAGTTTTTAAATCATCTTGTTCAATTTCCTTATTTAGTTCAATTCTATTTAAATAAACATTAAAATTTAAATTTGAAAAAATTATTAAATTAAATGGATTTAAATAATTTGGATGTAAATCATCAGTTTCACATAAAATTCCATTTCTAAAATCATAGGATTTTAAATATTCTAATTTTATATTTTTAGAAATTATTCTTTCAATCATTTCTGTTTGGAATTGTAAAATTTGAGGTGAAAATTTTTCATTTTCATCTAAATTTCCATTTATGGAAGTAAATAATTTAACAGGTGCAAGATTCATTTCTTCATCATTTGAAATTGTAGGTGTTGTTGGTGTAGTTGTAGTGGTATTATTTGTATTATTATTATCATTTGTATTATTAGAAATATTTAATTTTGGTAATGGTGATGATTTTGGATTAATATTTCCATTATTATTATTATTAGAAATATTACCAATAATAGAAGATAATTTGTTAGCCTTTTCAAAAGATTCCAAAACAGAAGGTCTATATTTACCCTTATGAATAAAATAAGGTACCTTCTTATAATGTTTATCATTTTCAATAGTAGTACTCTCTTCCATACTATTTGGGTTAAATTTAAATAAATCTAAAAATAGTTTAGGTTCCTTATCTTGTACAACTCTAATTTGATTTTCTACAACACCTTCATCAATCATTTCATTAATTTCAACAGTTTTATATGCAGATGTTCCTTTATCTTTCTTTTTAATATCTCTTCCTTGCCAAAAGAATAATTTATGGAAAGATTTACCACCTTCTATTTTTGTATAGGTAAATAAAATAATAAATGCATCACCTGTAAAGAAATGACCTAAATGTTGATATGGTATTTTTTGAAAATCACTCACTCTCCACATTCTAATTTTACTACTATATATGGTAGTTACTAAAGTTGGATCAATAAATTGTTTTTGTGAATTAGATTTTAATTCTTCTTTTAAATTATTTTTAGATTTTAATAATTCTAAAAAATTAATTTTTGATTGTTTCTTTTTTTCTGCAACATTTCCACGTGATTCTTGTGATTGTGTTTGAATCATTAACATTCCTGGATAATCACTAAATTTTTGTTTATAAATAGAATGTTCACCTTCTTCTATAACACGTGTAATGGATGATAAATATTTTCTATTATTAGGTAATTGATTTCCATTTATAGAATTACTTCCATTTATAGTAATATTAATAGAATTATTTAAAATAGATTTAAAACGTTGTAAAATTGGATTTTTCAATGAAAATGGATTATTATTTAAAGATCTATATTGTGCTAATTTTTTAGCAATAGCAATTCCCCATTTTCTAATATTTAAATTACTTTGTTTTCCACTCCAAAAGAAAACTTCATTTGTAAATAAACTTTCAAAAATGTAACATTGATCAGAATGTAAAACATGATGTGATGGTTGTGTAATTTCTGATACCTTATTTGGATCAATTAAATTCTTTTCATTATTTAATAAATTTTCTAATTCTTTTAAATTTACAATTTCACCACCTGGTATTTGATTTAATTTTATAACACTTAACATATATGGTGATATTCTTTCTATGTATTCATCTTGTGTTTCATTTAATTCTATTTTTAGTGGAAGTTCTTCAAAGATTTCTGAATTTAATTTATATAATCTTTGACCTAAATCATTAAATTGTTGATATAAATCATCATTTAATTCATCTTTTGATGTAAATTTAGATTTATCTGTTAATTTTAATCTGTTTAATACATTATTATTACTACTACTACTAGAATCTTCCTTTTTAGGAAAGTGAATATTTAATAATTCACAAAATTCATTTTCACTTGTTAATCCTAATTCTTTCCAAAATTGTAATACTTGTTTTTTATATAATGGTGTCATGTCATTGTTATTAGAATTATTATTAGAATTATTTCCATTATTAGAATAATCAATACCATCAATAATTACAACTTGACAATCACCACCTCTTTCCTTATATTTAATCATTTGTGAAATATCTAATGCTTTAGCTCTACATAATTTGTTAGAATATTGTCCATTGTAAATGTAACAAATTTTACCACAATCCAAAATGAAACAATCATTATGATTTAAACTTGTCCAATAAAGTGGTGCAAGTGTTGCTCTCGATTTTTTACGTCCTTTTACCCAAATTAGTACATGAGTGAGACCTTTTTTCAAGTCAACTACATCAATTTCAAGAACTTGTTTTAGATTGGTATCTTTATCATGTGCTCTTTTAGGAAATATATCTTCTTTAGTTAATTTACCAATATATTCTTCCATAATAATTCTACCATATTCACGTGATAGTAATCGACTTGATTCACTTGCAAGTGGATCTGAAATGATTAAATTATTGCCGCTACCACTTGGAGTTTGTGGAGTTAATGATAATGATGTATTAGATACTGATGATTTAATATAATCATTTGGTGTAGTAGGTGTTATATTATTATTATCAGTATTATTATTATTAGTATTAGCACCACCACCAACAATATTACGTTTAACACTTGTAGAAGAATTGATATTTGATGAAACTTTTCTTGAAGGTTTCTTAATAACCTTAATAACAGGTACTTGTTCGAAACGTTCCTTAATAGGTGGAGGAGTGTAACCAGTAGATTTACGATAAACCCAAACAGGTATTGAAATGAATGTAAATTTAAATATTAAAAACATTGCCATTCCTAAATAATAACCCATTCCCATTGTAATTCTTTTATACCATGGAATATGAGCTGATGCAAGTGCTACATTTTTACCTAAACTAGAAACTAATCCAATGGAAATGGATTTGGAAGTTGCTTCTGTTGGTGACATTAATGAATCTATATCATTTAAATCATTAAAATTATTATGATTATGTTCATGATGATGATGATGGTGATGATGATGATTTGTATTAATGGTAATTAATTCTTCTTCTTCTTCTTCATTGTCATCAAATTGTTGATTTTCATTTAAATCTTTAAATTCATCATCAACTTGTTCATTTGTATTATAATTTGTAATAGTAGTTGGGGTATCTAATGTAGTAGTTGGAGTATTTTCAATACTATTTAAAGATGATGATGAATGTAATTTACTTAAATTAGTAGTGGATGGTCTAATTTTACCACCTTCACTAATAGGTACATCATAGATAGATATTTTATCAGATGGTTTTAATGACATGGTTGGTCTAGTTTGTAATAATTCATTTTCATTCAAATTTTCATTACCATTACCATTACTATTATTAATATTACTTTGTATAGTATTATTATTAATAGAAGTAGTATTATTATTAATAATAGTATTTAACCATTGATTAGTATTATTATAAATAGGTTGACCATTCCAAGTATCTGGAAATATATCTTCTTGAAAATATTGTTCAATATTTGATTTTCTAGAAACTCTCATTGAAAGAGTTTCAATTGTTTTTTCATTTGTTAATCTTAAAAATTTAGCCAATTCAAAATTATTAACATTTAATTTCCATTTTGGTAACCAATCAACAGATGCAGATGTAGATTGACAATTATAATCATTTAAATAATGCATAATACCACCTTCTAATTCATAAAATCTAATATTACCATCTCCTCTACCTACTAAATATAGTAATTTAATATCTGAATCATAAAATGGTGTTAAAACTGAACCACCATTATCAATGGAAATTCTTTGTAAACATTTCAAATCTTTTCTAATATCATACATGGCTAATTCTCTACCTCCATTTTTAGAAAATCCAACACTACATATATACATATTTTCACAATATAATGTTTGAAATGGTTTCATACTTGAATGTCCTTCAGTTATACATATTTGTTGATTATTAGATTGATTATTATTATTATTATTATTATTACTATAATTGGAAGATAATCTAATATCATAAATTCTAATGGAACGATCATTTGTACCACATATAAATAAATTACCATATTCATTCCATCCTAAACTTTCAACTGTTGGTAATGTTTTACTAGAAATTGATGGATTTGGTAAATTTTGAATTGAATTTAAAATTTTCTTTTTTTCAACATCCCAAAAATGGATTAAATCTCCTTGAATACTAACAAGTGAATTATCAACAAGTGGATTAAATGATATTCTACTAATAGTTGATTTTGTATTATTTGTATCATTTAATTCCAAATCACAATCCATTTCTTCATAGGTTCTATATATAGTATTATTACCATTTATATTGGAAGTATTAGTAGAAGTAATATTAGAAGAAGAAATATCATTGCTATTATTATCATTATCATTATTATTTGTAGGTAATTTCCAATATCTAATAATATTATCAGAATTAGAAACAGTTACTAAATGATCTCTATTTCTAAAAGGGGAAATATCAAAATCTGATAATCTTCCCTTGTGAGCCTTAATAATTCCATAATTTTGTAATTTTTCATCCCATCTACCATAATCATTTAAATATTTAAATGATAAAGTACCACCTGTTACATTAAATGGTAATGCATAGATTGAACCATTGGTTTTTAATGTATTACTTAATTTTTGACCATAACCAACATTAATATTTTCATATCTCTCACTTTTAGTTTCAAATCCATTTAAATGTCTATATTTGGATGGTCTAACAAGTGATGCTTGAATAGATTGTGATGAAAAACCTGACATTCTAATTTTTTAATATTATTATTATTATTATTGTAATATGTACACTATTTAATATTATTAATAATAATAATAAATTGATGATATTGATGATGATAACAATATAGTTATGGAGTGAGTAACTGGAGAGAGATGATGATGATGATGATTTGTTTCTACTCCTTCTATAAAAAACTTCTATATTACTCTACTGCCACTTAACCTCTATTGTTATTAGAAACCGATAATAATCAAATAATAATAATTTTATTATCAGAAACAGGTGATGATGATTGTTATTGTTAAGAGCTGTTCAGATATTTTTTTTAATGACGAGTCGATTTTTGATGACGTTTGGTTTTACACAACGTCAATCAGTTTTTGATTTTTGATATTTAACATTACGAAGATTCACAATTGTTACTTTTATGGAAAAATTATGTTGACAGTACATTCTAAAAACAATAAATTTTCATTCAAATTTCATCAATTATTATTCATCTATCTCTAATGACTTGAATCAATAATAACTAATCCTCACATGATCATCATTTTAACTTTACAATCATCAAAATAATATATTAAATAATAAATTAAAATGTTTTAATGTAAAATTACTAAATCTGATAATAAAGATTGTTTTGAACAATTTAAAAGTTTTGATCTCATTTGAATAAGTTCCTTTGATTCTCTAACTGAATGAATAATTAAAAAGGAACTTAAAGTATTAAAATTATTATCTGCAAATGAAATTGAAAATTTTGGTCCAACAAATTTAGAAATAATTTCCTTGTAATTTTGATTTTTAAAACTTGGTTCCATAAATACTCCAGATTGAGTTCTATTATCTCTACCAAGTTGACCATATGTATTCATTCCTCTTGTGAAAATTCTTCCAATTGTTGTTGATATTAAAACGTGATCTGATCCAGATCCAATTTGATCAATTTCTTCATTTGGATTTAATACTAATGAATCATCTATAAACCATTGAACAACATTATCATGAGATGATAGATTTTTAGATGAAAGTTGTTGATATGTATTTCTACCTGCCATCCATAATTGTCCATTAAATGTTAAAATAATTGTAAAATACCATCCACAAACAACTGATTTTACCATTCCATCAAATTGTCTTAATCTTGTTGGTTTAGAATAATGTTCATCAACTGTTGATCCAAAAGCTTCCTTCTCTCCATATACATAAATATTATTCTTATTTGTTATTAAAACAAATCTATTATCAAATTTCAAATTTCAATTCATCATTATTTAAACAATGTTATATATAATTGTTACTATAAAATGAAATAAAAAAAACATACGAATTACCACCTGTAACAATATCTCTAACTTTTTCATCTTTCTGTAAATAATCATTCAATTCTATAACTTTTTCAACACTAGCTCCATTAATTTCTCCTTCACCATATAAACGATTAGTTTCATCATCTAATAACCAGTAATGTAAACCACCAACTCCAAATAATTTTACATTATTTACTTGTGTATTAGTAACTCCAGTAATTTTAGAGAGTGGACCATCTGCTTTTACATAAATTTGACCAAATTCAGTTCTAAATAATGTTCTATTCTGTCCTGATCTCATTTCCACAACACGATCAGGTAAAATACTATCAAATTGAACATCTCTTGCTAATGGAAATGAAGTATAGACATGACCATGAGATGTTAAAAAGTAGGTTTTGGAAAATTGAACAACAATTTGACAAACATGTTGTCCAGGAGAATCATTATTCAATAATTCTTGTAATGTTGATAAGAAAACAAATTGTGTTACATCTTGAGAAAAGGAATTTGATCCATGAACTCCATTATCTTCAACATCAGAGTGTGATACTCCGAGTAATGATGCTGAATTATATCCGCAACCAAAAACTACACTCTTCCCACCAGTTCTAAGATGATGAGTATTTCTTTGATACATGTTATTATTGTTGTTGTTATTGTTATTAAAATTGGAATTGGGTTGTGATGATAAACTTGTTGATGAAATTGATTTGTTGTTCGCTTGTTTAAAAGATTTATTACCCATGAACAAAATAGCAAATTGTTTCTATCAGTACTACTTTGATGTGATCGGATGATGAATATTTCTACAAGAGAGTGGTAGTTGATGATGAAAAGATATTTTTTCTAATGATATTAATATCAAGTTCATGAGTTCTAATTCATGAAAGCCTTTCAATCAAGCCTTCATTGTTGAATGGATTGTAAAGAATATTAAACAATTTTTTTAATCCAATGCGAGAACTCGGAAGGCTCATTAAGACATGTATTGAAGCCTGGTTTCATCAACTCTCAATGATTAAGTAATATTCAAAAACAATGAAATTTTATTTAAATAAAATTGAGTTGGAACTTTCTAACTTGACAAAACGTGATAAACGTGATGGTGATTTTGCACTTTTATTAATAGAATTAGAAATTGTGGAGTTTTGATCAACTTTAAAAAAAATGTCTAATTTATCAAAACGAAATTTCAATGATGAAATTCCACCTGAGATTTTAGCACACATTTCAAGTTATCTACCAAATGAATGGTTGGTTCATAGACTTGTTTGTAAATATTGGTCTGATATGTCTATTTATTACTATTTAAAATTGAAAATGGTTTCTACACGTTTTGTTTCACTTTCGGATATGGAAAAATTTTGTAATAGTCAAATAGTATTACAAATTTGTAAATGTAGTTTTAATAATGTAAATACTGAAATGTTAAAAACTATTTTTAATTGTAAATTATTTACAAAATTGGAAAAATTATATTTAAGTGGTGATTTTAGTTTAAAAGTATTGGAAAAATTAATTATTTCTCCAAATTCAATTATTAAACAATTAAAAAAATTTGAAATTGATTTACCAAATATTAAAAGTAGAATTAAATTGAACAAGGTTTATAAAAAATGTGCCAAACAAACCAATAATCCAATTTTTAACTATTTAATTTATTTATATAATAAGGATATTACATTTTTGGAAAAATCAGCAGAATTAAATTATTTTCCTGCCATAAAGAAAATGAAAAAATTAAACAAAAATTCATCAGAAATGAAAGAAAAATGGCTTTTAAAAGGAGCTGAATTAGGAAATAGTAAATATCAACATAAACTCGCTAGACATTATAGACTTAATGAAGAGTTCAAAAAAGCAACAGATTGGTATTTCAAATCTGCTGGAAATGGAAATTGTTTAGCTCAATATTGGATTGGTATTTATTACTATTCTGGTGAATATTATGAAAAAGATTTAAAACTTGGACTTGAATGGTTGTTAAAATCAGCCAAACAAAACTATTGCTTTGCACAATATGGAGTAGCTTACATGTATTGTGTTGGTGTTGGTACATTGCCAAATATGGAAGAATCACTAAAATGGTTAATCAAATCATACCTAAATGATCACAAATTGACATGTGTAGGAAGAAGTATTGTTGAATTTTTACAATATTTTGAATTATTAAATCATTTACCATCAGAAATAAGTAACTTGATTCCAAACATGAAACAAAAGTATGGAAATAATTTTGATATTTTTAAAATTGAATCAACAAAGACATGTAAAATATGTGATCAAACATGTTCAGGATTTTATCAATCAACAGTGGATGGTTATGATTCATTTGATATTTGTGACGATTGCTGTGATTCTAGCAATTTGGAGAATGAATTTAAAACTGAAATTGGTGAGAGATCTCTTTTTACAACTCATTTTCTTGCTAATTTTATTCCATTAATTGAATTTTGCAAAGAAAGAAATCATAATATTAATTGTTCACAACAATTTGAAATAATTATTTCATCTTTAAAAGCGTGTGTAATAGAAAGTTACTAAAATTGTAAATAAACTATTTTAGTCATAGTTGATATTTGTTTGCCAATCAATTTATATGAAAAATTAATATTATTGGATGTGACACGTTTCGATCGTGCGACCAGGGGCCTGGGATCTGTCCCAGAGTCTAGCTGTTTTTTAATCAAGTTTTATTCCCATCCATCTCCCATCCACTTCACTTGATACACAGCTTGGACTAGTTTTCCTTGCTCTTCCAACTGAGCTACACATCCATTTTCAATCATGAATAACGTATTCGAAAGAACTAGTTGTTTGAGCAGATTTTAATTCGATTGCATTTTGGTTTGCTAAAATTCTTATCAATAATCTAGATTATTAAAAAAATGCATTTGATTTTTAATAGTGAGCACAATCTGTGTTTGATGAAGGAGTAACAAGGAATAAGGCTTTTCTCATTTGATGATGCTGTTGAAATCGGAAAACTGTAAAGTAACAGTAGATGTCGTAATACTCGGTACCAAATAATTACCAGTTCTGAGAAATAATATTTTCATCAATTATTTCACAGTAATTTCATAAAGCCTTTTGAAAAATTCGTAATCAGATCTGATAATCAACTGTTGAAGGTTTCATACCGTATTTTGACTACCATCTTTCAAAGTAGCTTTCCAAATCAATCGAATGACAGCATTCCAGCACGCATCAATTAAAATCTTTCGAATAGAAAAAAAAGTAAGTGTTAATAGCCGCTCCATTCCTCTCATCATTATCACAACAACAACTATTACTATTAAACCATATAACGAATGGTTGATTCATATTACTCTTCTCCACTTCATCATATAACACCACTCCAATATACAAATATATTTATAATTATTAATTCAACACCTAAACTATACTATAGTCCAAAATGTTAGGATATCTTGCATTGTCTGCACTAGTTGCACTTCCATGTTATGCCTATTATTATTGGTTAAATAATATTAAACCATTCTTTGATGCTCAAGTCAAATTGGAAAATTCTAAACTTGGACAAGTTTCAGATAAGAAAAAGAAAGGTACATGTATTATTATTGGTGGTAGTATTGGTGGTATTACAACTGCACTCAATGCTTGTTTCCATTTTGAAAATGTTATTTTATTTGAAAAGAAGAGATATGAAACTAACAAGGTATGTTAAATATTGTAATTTAATATTTAATATTAAATATTATTGTAATAGTCAACTGCTCCACAAGGAACTCAAACTCACATTTTTTTATTGAGATGTATTACAATTTTCAAGAAATTATTTGGTGGTTATTTAAATATTGATTTTATTAATGAAATTGAAAAGATGGGAGCTTTTAAAATTTTAATTGAAAATACAGATTATGCTGCCATTGATGGTAAATCTGATAAATTATGTGGTTTAATTGAAGGTCAAACTATTTGTCCACCTGGTTATCAAATGACAAGATATCAAATTGAATCTTATATTAGAGATTTAATTATGAATATTAATAAGAATTCTTCATCATTAATTGGAAAATCATCTACTTCAACTAATGTCAACACCAATAATAATAGTAATAGTAATAATAGTAGTAATAATAGTAGTACTATTGATGAAAATTCATCACCATTGGGTAAAATTCAATTCAGAGATGATCAAACAGTTAGTGGTTTAATATTTGAAAAGGTTCAAACACAAGATTCTAAAATTATTCATCGTGTTAAAGGTGTTAAATTACAAGAAGGTGAACAAGTTTATGGAGATTTAGTAATTGATTGTTCAGGTTTAACAACTCAAACACCAATTTGGGTTGAAGAAGAATTTTCCAAAGATTCTAATAGAAAATTTGAAATGGAAAAGAGTAAGATTATTCTCACAACAACCTACACTTCAGCAATTTACAAATTGAAAGATCCAAATATGCAAGATGGATTCTTTAAAAAAGATGGTAAAACACCTGTTTGGGCATATATTGGTAATGTTGGTTTTCCAACTAAAAGTGGTATGATTTACTATAGAGTTTCACAAGATAAGGGAATGTTTATTATTGGTGAAACTGGTAGTAAAAATCCAGAATGTGTTAAAATTAAGAATCATGAAGATTGTATTGATTATTTAAGTAAGGTTTCACCTGATATTTCAGAAAAGACTAAATTATTCTTTGAACATTGTGATTTAGAACAAGGTCCAGTTATTGATTGGTCAAATTATAAGAAGGATGGAACTGTTTTAAATCATTGGGAAAAGATTACACAATATAAGGATGAAAATGGAAATCAACATGTTCTTGAAAATTTCCTTGCACTTGGTGATTCAGGTAAGCAATTTTATTAAGATTTATTAAGATTGATTCATTTACTAATTGACTAATTGATTAATTCATTAACTAATTGCAAATAGTTGGATCATTAAATCCTGTCTATGGACAAGGTGTTACATGTATGACAGAATGTCAATTAATTTTAGATGAAATTTTAAGAAGAGATGTTTCTACAATTGATTACAAAACATTTGAAGAGTTCCAAACACGTGTTTATAGAATTTATATTCCACCATATATTATGGCAACAATGGTTGATTTACAATTAGATGCTAAAGGTGGTAATTGGTGGTTTAAGAAATTCTTATTACCAATTTTAGGACCAAATGTTAAGAGAACTATTTTAGCATCTAAAATTGATCCATTTGTTAGATGTCATTTCAACAAAGTACAAGGAATGTGTGAAGGTTATTTATATCAAATGTTTGATAGAAAATATCAATCTAGAACTAAAAATCCACAACCAAATTGGTAGTACTACCAATACTTTTTATTAAATTATTCATTAATACTATTAGTTTCATAATATTGTACAATACAAGGATATCCACCATGGGAATGTTTTATGGGAAATATTATTAATCCAAGTAAGGAAGCAAGCTGAGATAGGTACTCTTCAATTCTACAGCGCTCATTCCAGATGTTGAAATGGTTCCTCTACCAATCTTTGCAATTCTATTCATCAATTCAAAATTAATTGAACTACCCAAATTAATGACATGAACTGTTAAATCTGGATATCTTAACATTAAGCCTTCCAAGTAGGCAGGTGCTCCGTCGTCGTGCCAAGCACCATCTGTCATAAAGAAAACTATTGGTTTGAATTCCTCGTTATTACTCGATTTGAGAACTTGTTCGACAGTTTCGAATACTTTTAAAAAGTTGTTGCCACCGTCGGCATTATATTTCATCATGTAATCAGAAACAAGTGATGGAGTTGCAGGTTTTTTATCATAAATAATGATTGAATCATGATTATGAAGAATACACGATGAAATATCTGAAGTTTCTTTTCTTGTTTCTAAAAAGGCATAACATGCTTCATAAAGTGCTCCTACTCTGTTATTATGAGAGGTCTAATTGAATATTAGTAAAAAACATCATGGAAGAATACTTACTTTAAGTAAACTCATTGTTGGTAAAGCATCTCTTGCCCACATTGATCCTGAAACATCATTTGCAAAAATTCTTTTAACAGTTAGAAATTGTAAACTTCAATATAACATTCTATACTTACAAATGGTGAGGTTGAACTGGTGGAGTGTCAGCAATACTTTCACCATGTGAAAATAATTCACCATCATACTTAATTAATGCACTATACTCAATTCCAGTATTCTTTTCAATGGCAGTAACTCTAGTTTCTGATCTACCAAAATACATTGTAACTTTCACTATTCTATCCATGCCACCTGTCATATCTGTCATATGTACTTGAATTTCACCAATCTTATGACATTTAGTTTCGTCAACTTTTGTAATTGATTTCAATTTAGTGCTGTAGATGATTATTTTCATAGCTTGTTGATTAGCTCTTTGAACTTTGTATTCTCTTGAAATTCCTTGATCAACTTCAAGTTCTTGATTAGCAATTACAAAAGTATCGAATATTTCTTCACTTCCTTTTTGAGCTTTAACTCCATAAGTCATTCTCATTCTACGTGTTGAAATTAATGAATCATCAATACCTAATAATGCAGCACCATCAACAACAGCTTCAGCAGGTTCATTTGGAATTACAATTCCCTTAACTTGTGAAGAGAAATTGTCAATTAGAAAGTTTTGAACTACTTTGGAAGCACCAAAACCACCAACTATGAAAATATAATCAACCATTTTACCAGTCTCTGATTGGATTGTTTCTAATTGCTTTTCAACAAGATTTCTTGTTTTTTCTAATGAATCTTGATAAATTGTTTGTAAAGCTTCACTTGTAATTTTGAGTTGACCTCTTTTAGCTCTGAATTTATCACTTTTAACATTGGCACTTTCTAAAAAACTACTTAATTGACCAGGCATATCAACATTAATATCTTTTGTTAAATCTGTTGTTGTAACTTTTGTTCTTTCCCAAATCTTTAAAATGTCCAAATAAGTTTGGCCATACTTTTTCCTTAAGGTTTCAACAAATTTCTTACCAAAACATTCTTCCAAATAAATAATAAAAGCATCATCTAAATATGTAGAACCACATGCATCACCAGATCCTTCAGCTAATTCTCTCAATCTTGCCTTTTCAAATTTATGACATGTCAAGTCAACTGTACCACCACCAAGATCACAAACAAGGAATGATTCGCCCTCTCTCAATGGTTTACCTTTAGAAGCTTGATATTCCATACAATAAGCAGCAGCTCCTTCTGGTTCAAGAATAATCTTAAAATCATCAGAAGATGCTTCAGGTGTCTTTGTTAAACCAGCAGTGTAAGCAGCTAATCTCATATCTGATTTTTGTTCATCTTTCCAAATGGCTGGAACTGTTAAACACCAAGTAACTTCATCAAGATTCAATTTAGATCCCAATGATTTCTCAACAGTTGGCTTAATCTGATCATGGAATAATAATTTCAAATAGTCAACTATCAATTCACCAACATTCTTTTCAAAAACACCAGTTGTATCCTTCACCATACCAGATGGATTATTGAATAATCCCATTTTGAATGTCTTGAAATGATAATACTTGCTATTTTGTGCTGGAATCTCTTCACCACCTTCTTCATCTTCATCAGATTCACTCTCATCTTCAAATTCTCTTGACAACATGTCAAGTGAAGTGTAACCCCAAGCAACAGGTTTTCTTGTATCACTCTTTTCATAAAGTAATTGAGTGAGAGTCTTTGGGAATGAAACTCCACTTGGTGCATCTTTCCATGAGGTATTCTTAACTCGAGTCTTTTTCACATCATTGGTGAGTGAATAACAGAAACCAGTTCTTGATGTACCAAAATCAATGGAAATGACAACTTTCTTCTTGTTGAGGGAACCTGAACGAACAGGAACAGTTGATGATGACATTTTTTTTGTGTGTTAATGGAACAGAATAAACTGATGAGAAATGAGAAATCGTACGTCATACGGAATTCTGATCGGTAAGTTTGACAAGTTTTACAATGAATCACGATTCGAGAGTGACTACAGTTCAAAAAAAGCTTTCTACAGTTTTGATAAACGAAAAAGATCAGATTGTAATAATGATATTGAGGTTATATTTCGCTCATACTAATAAATATTAAGATTTTTGTGAATGGAATTTCAACTATTTATTTTAGGGCAAGTGAGTTTGCTTCAAAATCTCTCTTAATTTCCTTAACTTCACCTTGTGCATTTTCAACAGTAATCATTAATTCTGATTTACCAAAGAAGAATTTAATAAAAACTCTTCTATCTGCCTCCTTTGATGAATCTCTAAAAGGAATTGTAATTGTTTCCTCTTTAGAAACTAGTGGTGAATCAATATAAGGAATTGCTTCTCTTCTCTTAATAGATGAATAGAGAACAACATCAATTTGAGTAGCACCTGGTAAACATTCATATTCTCTAACAATTTCTCTATCAATTTCAACTTCTTCACGTTGTTCAACAAAAACATCCAACACGTCAACTGCCATATGTTTACCATTAATGACCTTGTACTTGCTTTCAGCATGATGCCCTTCTTCAAATTCTTCCATGACACCAACACCATATGATAACTTTGATTTTCTTGAACGAATGATGGATCCTTAGCAAGTAATGCACCTCCTTCCATGACAGCTGTCGAACAGAAAAGTGGAATTAAAATTTCCTTAAATTTCTTTTCAAATCTTTCCTTAATACGATTTTGGAAATAACCATTATCTCCTAAACCACCAACAATAAATAAGTGATCCATCTTTCTACTTGGATAATCTTCTTCATAATCTCTATAAACTTCATCAATCAATTTGAGTGCTTTTGACACTTGACTGTCAAATATTCTTTTCATTTGTTCATCTGTTAATGCAATCTTGGTAGATCTTGATTTGTAAATTGAACTATTAGGTTTTGCTTTTTTAAACATTGGAGATGTGTCAAATGTCAATTTCTTGTCAACTGTCAAAGTACCTCTCTTAACATCTTCCCAAATTGATAATATCTTGACAAGAGTTTCTGGATTTTTCTCTGTAAATTCTTTGAAATTATCACAATTTTCTTCTAAAATCTTAATAAATTCTCTATCAATAAATGTAGAACCACATAGCTCTGCCTTTTGAACTGCCAACTCTTTCAATTTACCATTTTCAAGCATATGACAACTGACTGTTACAGAATTTAAATGTTAAATCAAGAATTTCTCAAACTTACCATCTACAGTACCACCACCAGCATCAACTACCATAAAAGTTTCACCATTTGTAAGTGGTTTAGATTTAGCCTTATGTTTCATACAGAACATGGTAGCAGCATCTGGTTCAGAAATGATAATCAAATCACTCTCATCACAATTTTCCTTATCTATAATCTTTGCCTTACATGCCACTTTCCTCATTAGGGATTTTTGATGTTCTGAATAGTTGGCGGGAACTGTAATGCACCAACGAACATCAGTTTTCTTAACAGAGCTATCGTTATTCTTTAAACTCTTCATGATAAAATCTGTGAATAACATGGATAAGTAATCTGCCATCACATCAAGTAAAGATTTGGTTGTTCCATCATTGGAAATTACTATTTCTGGAATTGAAATTTCCTTCTCATCTTTTGTTGCTTCCATGAATTGAATTTTTAAATCTCTGATAAATTTTCTATCTTTTAGTGGAGTTGCTGATTTTTTTGATGGAGCAGTTGAAGTTGATCCATGAGATTCTTCACTTTCACTATCTGAATCTCTATCCGAATCTTCACCGGAATCTTCATCTGAATCTTCGTCATCATTTTCAAAGAACATTGTCTTTCTAGCAGTATAACCAATACTATGTCTCTTACCATCTTCATATAAAATACATGACATATTCTTATTGTAAACTACGTTAGGGGAGTCTGGATAAGTTTTGAGAGTGAAAATTTTATCTTCATCCTTTACGAAGAGAATTGAACTGCCAGAACCTGAAGATCCAAAGTCAATGCAAACGACAAAGTTTTTACCTGCTTGTGGTTTGATGAGGGTGCTGGTGCTCATATTTTTTTTGTTTTTTGAGAATTGATAATTAGAAACTTTGACATGACGTGTTGAAATGGACACTTCCCATGTCAAATTAAGTCATATTACAATTTTCAATTCCGTAAATTCCGTCAACTACAATTGTGTAGAAAGTTAATGCAGATTTAGTGTGATGATCAAAATTTACAGTAATTTTTTCAATATTTTTAAATATTTTGTAATATTTGTAAATATTTATTTGTGTTTTGTTAATTTTGTTGTAACAACTGCTTGTTCAAAAACACTTCTTGATCCCTTCAACATTAAACAAGGATAAATGCAAGTATCAATTACAATTTTCTTATCAGCATTTCTTGATCTTTGTTCTAAAGTATTGAAATCTGATTTTGGTTTATACCAAACGAAACCAATATTTTGCTCATTTCTCAAGATCATTGCTAGCATTGAAATTGAACTTGTTGACATTGTGTCAATTTCATTTTGAATTTGAATTCTTTCTTCATCTTTACAATTTTCAATAAAATTACTAAAACTGGCAAATTGTTCCTTAATTTGATTCATTAATCCAACTGAAGTATGATAAATAACAAGCTTTCTCATTTCAATATCTGATTTCAATAATTCACCAATGAGCTTTCTATCACTGCTGTCAACTTGTTTTGTTTCACACACAAATTTCATAACAGTCTCTTCTAATTTCTCAAAGAGTGTCTTGGCTATAATAATTTCCAATTGTTCTTGTTCATCTTCTGTCAAATTGTCTTCCAAGGTTGTTGTCAAAGTGTCAATACTTGATTTTGATTGAAGATACAAATCTCTAATTTGTTTAGGACTTTCATCTGAGAAATCATTGACAACAAGTGCTGGATCATTTTGAGCTTTGATTAAAATAATGTCAGCTTTCAACTTTTCAATTTCTTGTTCTTTGGTTTGGGACAAGTTTATGAAATTCTCTCTTTCTTCAGTCAATGCTGAATGTAATTGAGTGGAATAAGAAATTTGTTGATCTCTTGATTGTTTTACACTTTTCAATTCTAATTCAAATTTGTTCTTCTCTTGCTTCCACTCAGTGATTGCTTGATTGAATTGAAATTTACAAGATTGTAATTCAGTGTTGAGATTTTGAACAGTGGAATTGTACTGCTTGTCGAGTTCTTGTAATTTCTTGTTCAATTCTTGTGCTTTTGCTTGATATTGAGAGGAAATATATTCGCAATTTTGTTTTTCAAGTGTTAATTTTTCAAGTTTCGGGTTTAAAATTTTAAATTCTTGGAGTAAAGTTGTGTTTCTAGTTTGCAAATTGGTGTTATTTGTTTCTAATGTTATAATTTTGTTTCGCTGGCTTTCTACCTCTTTCTTTTGGTATTCAATTTGTTCCTTTGCCGCCTTCAACTCCTTCTTTATTTCTTCTTTATTGTCATCACTGAAAAACCCAAAGAATCCCATTTTTTTGATTATTTGTTTGATAGTTAAACATTTGACAAGTGAATGATGACTCGTCAATTCACAGAACGGAACACGGAATGCAGGTTTCAAAATTACATTACAACTCGTCAAATTTTCGTACGTCTTTAAAAAAAATGACAAACGAATCCAATTCAAATAAACCATCATCCACCATCAAACCCCAACAACAACCAACAAGTGATGTTCCACCCCCAACACAAGAAGTAGATCCCTCCCATTATCAAAAAAGAATTTCACAACTTCAAACTCAACTCAAGTCAATTGAAGAGGCCTTTAATAAAGAAAAGCTAACAACCTCCAATCTGCAAAGTAATTGGGACCAGGAAAAGAATGTAGCACAAATCCTCCAACACGAACTTGACAAGGTTAAACAAGATTTAGAGAGTCAAAGAAAACAAGTTTCTATTCTCCAAAGTAATCTTGATAAGGAAAAAAACAAAGTTAACCACATCCAGGAAGAGTCAGAAAAGCATACCAAGGAAGTTGACAGATTAAGAGACATATTAGACACTGTACAAGTTGATAAGAAACTTGTTGAATTCCTTAAATCAATCTCATTAGAAAAATCCCAAAATCAAGATGAAAGAATTAAAAAATTAACCAAAGAAAGCAATGAAGCAAGAGATAATGAGAAGAAATTAAAGAAAGAAAATGATGATTTGCAGAACCGTGAAAAGCAATTGGTTAGTGAAAAAGATCAAAAGATTACTGAATTGAATACAAAGAAAAAAGAATTTACAGATCTCAAGAAGGAAAAGGACACTTTAGAAAAGAATTTCAACAAATTGAGAAGTGAACATGATGAAACTAAACAAAAGTTGAAGACTGAACAAGACAGCCACAAAAATACAACCAAAAAGCTTGAAGATTTGAGAAGTGATAATAAGGATCTTAAAAATGACACACTTGAACTCCAGGCAAACCTTCAATCTCTTGAAAGTAAAATCTCAAATCTGGAAAAGGATAAAAACAGAATGAGAACCGAAGCAAGTGAAAACCAATCAAGATTTGAGAAAGAAAAAGAAGCACTAATCGAACTGAAAAATGGTTTAGAATCAAAGATTGCTCAACTTGAAGATAATTTTAGAATTGTCAAAGCAGAACATGATCCAGCTCTTGAGATGAACAATTTCTCCGACAATACCACCAAGTCAATTAAGGATGCTTATTTTGAAATTAAGAATTCATTGGGTTCTCTTTGTGAAGAAATGAGTGAAAATCTTAATGGAGATGATGTAGCACAAGATTTTGAATGTGAAATTGAAATGGAATTAGCCAAATACCTCTTTTCACCAGCTCAAGACGACAATAAGGGCAAATCATTACAACACAGATTGAAAGACAAGAAATTAGGTTATGGATGCAAGCCATTGGAAGATTCAGATAAGAAAAAACTACTCAAAAGCTGCCACAATGAGATTTTCACCTCCATTGAACACGTTTTCAACAAATTCAAAGTTGAGAATCCTGAGCATATTTGTAGAGATCGGGAAGTTAGTAATCTAACCTCAGAATTACTTGATAAGGCAATTGAACTCTACATGAAAATGTTTACCAATTCAAAAAAGTTGGAATTCGTTTGGTATAAAGCAAAGGACAATTTTAATCCATACGAACAAGATGCAAGAAATAACACAACCATTCCAAAGATTCAGTGCACAGTCTTTCCATCCCTAATGCAGTTGCAATCGAGAAGTATTTATGAGAAGGCAAAAGTAATTGTCAGAGTGTCAAAAAAGAATTAAAAGTTTAGTTTAAAAAAAATGTTGAAAAAGAAACTTGAGAAGAAAGTAATCTCGTCAATTTCAAGTGATAATTTAGAGCAATTCATTTCATTAGCTGAATCCTTGTCCGATTTTTCAAAAACTCTTGTTTCGAACAAAACTCTATTAGAAGAATCAATTTCTAATAATTCAACAAGAATTACAAAATACTTGTTAGAAGAAAAGAAGGTAAATCCAAGAATCGGAGTAGGTTTTATATCATCATATATTGTTAAATGTGTTTAGGTTCCATTGTATCATGCTTGTAGAAGTGGAAATGTTGAGATTGTCAAATATTTACTGTCACTTGTCAATGTCAATGAAGTAAGTATGATTTGAAGCAAAATGAATACTTATTAGCTTGTTATTCAAGACATTTTGTGGTGTAGAATCAGAACAAACTTGTTTGTTTATTGCATGTTATGATGGTCATCTTGAAATTGTGAAATTATTATTGGAATCAAATGAATTGGATGTTAATAAGGGTGTAAGTAACTTGTTAATGATGAGTATACATTTATTGAATTATTCAGAATGTAAGTTTGATATTTAATTAATTGAGTTTTAAGATTAAAGATGGTAAGTATTAATTTGCAAGTTTTTATTTTACCAATTTTGGAAGGTTAAAACACCTTTGCAAGTTGCTTGCGAAAGAGATAAAATTGAAATTGTGAAAATTATTATTAGAACATCCTAATATCAAAATATCAATAGCATTGAAATGTGGCGGGAAATCCATAAAAACGATTCAAAAGGAAATGAAATCTGAAAAAAGAAATAAGACTAATGTGGAAACAAAAGAAATTAATGTAGAAGTGAGTCAAGCATCTACTAGCACATCTCCAATAGAAATTAAATTCATTCATTTTGCATCAATATTTACAGAGCTTTCCCAATTAGGTTTCGAATACAAAAATAGGAAAAATCAATTGGAAACTATAAGATTTACCACTGATAGACTTATTAGAAATATCATAATTAACGAATATGACATGAAAAAGTTTACAGATATTAAGAATCTTCTCAGCCCTATCCAAATTAATTCAAAATCGATTTATTCATCACAAAATCCTCAAGATTTAATTGAATTTCGAAGCAAATTTCAAATCCATGAATCAATGAATAATCAAATTAAGAAAAGTGATTATGGAAATTTTCTTATTGAATTTGTAAAGAGTTTGAGTGAAATTTCTAAAGAAATTAATGAATTTTTGAATGGTGGAGAAGAAATTCCATGTAATGAAATATCGAATTATGAAGAATTGGAATTAACATTTGAAGAATATTCGACTAATTTGGAGAAATGGATTAATACATGTAATAAGCAATTGAGTGGAGTTGCAAATTTTCTTTCAAATTTTTCAAGTAATATTTCAACACTTGAATTTTCAGAAATAAGCAATGATACAAATGATATTGGAGATTCCATTTCAAAATTATTTTCCTTATTGAAAGAAAATCCAAATTTGGAATTGTATCATTTATTGAAAAAGAAATTGAAAGGATATTGCTACTTTATTGATGATATGAAAAATAATTGCCTTGATTTTATCAATAATATTACTACCATCTGTAATGAATTTAAAAATATGCAATTAACTTTAACAATAATTTCTAAATTTGATATTTCTAAATATGGAATTAATTACAAATTAATGAGTGAGAACATTGAAGCACGCAAAAGATCAATTGAAATTGAGAAAAAATTGTGGGAAACAAACAACTCAACATCAACTGCGCCCTGTCTAAAAATTATGGAACAAGAAACTGAACTCGAAACTCTTCAAATTAACAGAAATGATATTCGAAACAAATCAATTACACTCTATCGATCAGGATTCTATGATTTACTATCAGAAATTATAGGAATTCAAGATGTAAGCACTTTGGAATTGACTACAATTAGTGAAACTGCATTTCTGAATTATATGCTTATTGAGGCAGTTGATAAGAATTCGAATATTTTCTATCGTGTTAAACAATATTCATTGGATAAAATTGAAATGGTAATTGAACAAGTTGAAATTCTAGAGAAAATCAAACATTCAAATATTGCAGAATTAATTGGATTTTATCTTTGTCAAGATAAACTTTGTATTGTTATGCCATATTACTCAATTGGAACATTGAAAGATTTTTCATCCATTAGATCAGGATGGGAAGATATTTGGTTTCAGATTCTTTCAGCCATTCATCATTTTCATACCTATTCATTTGTTCATGGAAATATTAGAGCTGCGAATGTGTATGTGAAAATTATTGAAGATGAACAAGTTAAATTAATATTGGATGGATTTGATAATGTTGTGAAAATAGAGGAAAAGGGAAACAAATTACCATTCCAGAAAGAAATGTTTTGTTTCGTGAAAATGGTAATTGACATCATGTCAATGGAACGACTCGATGAATATTCATCTCTTTTGAAAACGCTAATGGACTCAATTAATATTCGTGAAGAAATTTGTACTTTATCTGCATCTGAGTTATTAAGACATGAATTCTTTCGTGGGACAAGAAGAAAGGAAACGAAACAAAAGCCTTCCTATTGGAAATCAAATCAAAATAACATGTCAATTATAGATGTTACCGCTGAATTAAAAGAGGATATTCAAGATTTATTGGATAAGACATGTGTAACAATTACATTAGGAAAGAAACGAAACCATGAAAAAGATTCATTTCCATATAACAAGTTACAAGTTCTAAAAGTGGAAAGAATTGAGAATTTATCACTTTATGAAATGTATCTATCAAAGAAGAAACACCTAATTTCCTATAAGGATAAAAAGAAGGTAATGGATATACCAATTAGAAATGATTTTGTTGACGAAATGTGTGAATTAGATTCCAATGTGAATGAAGTTTATTTATGGCATGGAACAACAGAAGTAGTCAAGTCAATCATTTCAGAACACGGCTTTGATGAAAGATTGAGTGCTTTGAGTGGTTTGTTTGGAGCTGGAATATACTTTGCTGATTGCTGTAGTAAGAGTGATCAATATTGTGTTTCGAATAAGGATGGTGAGTGTTTTATATTTCTCAGTAGAGTTCTGTTAGGTCAGATGGTTTTCAAAACAAGGGAAAAGATGAGAAATGAAAGAAGACCACCTGTCATTGAAAACTCAAATGGAAGAGTTTATGACAGTGTTATTGGAAGATCCAAGTCGGTATCACAACACACCTACAATGAATATATTATCTATGATAGGAATCAATGCTATCCTGAATATTTAATTACATACAAGAGAGTTTTAATATAAATATTGATATAGGTAATAATTGTTATTTTTTCCTTTTTTGGGTAGTTTCAACAATTCCTTTTTCGTAGACTGTTTTGGTGAATGTGTCCATGAGAGCAGGTTTGAAAACATTAGTGACTACAATGTTACTGGTTGCATTTCTTGAATCGTACCATTCAGGATTGTAGAGAGATCCAGTTGAAGCCCAAACCAATTCAAGCTTCTTATCAATGAGAAACATGTTACAATAGAATTTCACGAGTTTGGTTATAAATTCTCTGGCAGCTTGTTGTAATTTCTTGTTCTTTCCAATTTCTTCCATTTTTGCAATTGTCTGGACGAGGGTTTCAATAAGGCGGTTTCTTTCTGATTCTTCATTTGTAAGTTTCTTGCCAATTAGTTCGAAATTCATTTCAGAATAGGTTTCTTCAATGAGTTTACGGACTGTTTTGAATGCAAATGCAACAATTTTTAAATCAAAATCAAATTCCTGATCTTCACTTAATGAATGTTCTTCAACTACTCTTCCCACAAAAGAATTCAAATCGTGTGATTTCAAAGTGACATATTCATCATGTATCTTTTTGACTGTGTTATCAGAAAAGTCATTCATCAGCAAGGCAGGATCATTTCGAGTTTTGTAAATTGAAATTTGATCATTTAGTTGATCTCTTTCTTTTGTTAACTCGGACACTTGTTTCAAGAACGATTCCTTTTCATAAAGGTACTTTCCATTCAAGGTAGCCAATTCTTCACGTACCTTCTCTTCTTTCCTGGTGATTTCTTTAATATTCTCTTCATTATAATAGTGCTGTTCAACAAAAGCATCTTTGGTTTTTTTGCATTCTCTTCTGCTTTTTTTAATTTCCTCTTGACGTCCTCATAATCATCAATTACTTCATCAAGCTTCTCGTTTAACTTTTTGTACTCATTGTCAGAGTTTCCTTGTTTGTTGTGCTCTTGTTGTTTTTGCATCAATGAAGGAATAGATTCAAGAAATTTAATATAGCGTTGATCAACTGTTAGAGCCAACAACTTTTGGATTAGGTTTTGATTTTCCTTCTCAAGTGCGTTTATCTTGTGCTCTGTGTAGGTTGAAACTAATTCACAAAACCAATCTTGTTGTTGGAGAGTGGATTTTTCATCTTCGGATGGGTTTTTTATGTTGATTGTTTCTGGAAGAGTTTTTTCAGATGTTGATTTACGCATTTTTTGTTGACTCGTCAATTCACTTTTGACACAGGAATGCCATGGTAGAATTTTTATCAATTTGATTTGTCCTTCTCCTCAAAATTTGGATTCAAAGAATAGCACAAAGACTGGACCCACTCTAATGGAATGATGGTATCACTTCTCAAGAATGATTCCATCAAAATAAATATTAATTTGGTTTGGAATCTTTAGGGGCCCAAATATTTTAGCAGTGGTTTTTTTTTAAAATTAGAGAGCTTTTTGAGTTGTTTCAACACCCTTACTAAAGATTCCAAACCAAATTAACATCTATTTTGCTTCCACAGAGCACTGGGAAGAAATCACAATGTTTGCAGAATGACTTTTTGGGAGCACTCCAAAAAACAAAACCGTGAATTTAAAAGAATTCTAAGATCATGAACATTATGGCTTGCGAAGTTAAATCATGATATTTCCATATCTCAATTAATCGTAATATTCTCTGGTAAAATGGCAATTATAGAGTTTCAAATTATTAATAAAAAGTTTATACTAATTCAATCATTTCTGTTGGTGGCATATTTACAACAGCAGTTATTACAGGTGTTTGACTCTCCTTACTACAAACATATAATTTCATTGTTTCTGGGGCAACTAAAGGATCAAGCATGGTTACTGCCTTACTAAATCTGTATACTGGTCCTGGAAGAAGAGGAGGAAGAAGCAATCTTCTTGCATCACCCTCCACCGAGTAAAGATCTTCATTAAAAACAAATAGAATGAATAACTGGGAAATTGACTTTTTGCCAGTATTCTGAACCTCAATATTAATCTTAAACTTTGGACCTAGTCCTTGCACTTGGGCCGTCAAGCGAATAGAGGATCCGGAAGTGTAAGATAATGGACCTTGGCCATCTGTCAAAATTTTAACATATGCCCTCGCAGTGTGAAGTCTAATTCTTGCCAAATCTTTTTGGAAAACATTATGCATTTCAGAGCAATAATCCACTTCTCTCTTTGTTTGTTCCAAATAAAGGAAAGTCTTGGAGGGTAAATCCAAAGGCTCTTCCTGTTCTGGTGGTGGACCAGTTTTGGATTTGCTCTCCAAACTTGCCTTTCTTGAGATAACTTTAAAATCAAGACCGCCATTTCTATAAGAAATGATTAAACTATTAACCTCAGATCCGTATATTCCATATCTGAGACTGGCAATATTTTCAAATAATTCAATCCTATTTACCAAATTTTTACCATTATAAATTCTCAATTCCTTGTTCTCCATAGCTACTATTATGCATTTCACACTACGTTGGCCTCTCATTTCAAGAACTTCCATGTCCTTAATATTAGATGGTAAATAGATAGAGTATTGTTTCTTTCCTCTTGTATTGTAGCAATGAATACTATTGTTCATAAGGCCAATAGCAAAAGTTTTGTCTATTTTTACAATAGAAACTGGATGAGATTCCAACTCAATAACCACGCCACTCACTTCTCCATTTTTAATGGTATATACATTTCCATTTCTACATGCTGCTGTAATTCTATAATCACTATCATAGTTACCAGCAATACAAAATTTTACAGGTGCTGAAGGCAATTGAACAGCTTTCATGATTTGTGATCCTTGGGGAGTTAAGATAAAAACTATTCCGCTCTCTGTACCGACAACTGGACATCCAATTGCGTCATCTCCTTCTCTGTCTTTTGGAAGAATTGATAGAGTTGTAATATTATTTGGACTCTCCAAGGCAAAATTTTTCCTGGTATCAATGAACGCCTTAATATCTTCATTTGATGTAAGAGAAAGAAGTTCGTAACTCCTTGTACTAAGAGTAATATTATGATCTCTAAGTCTTGCTAATTCAGCGTAACCAGTCTTGGCATCATATTTAGATTCCTTTAAATATTGCCAAATTTCCACTTCCTTTTCTTCTGTAGTCTTTGCCGGCATAGTAAACTTGTAGAATGGTTGTAGGTTTTTGTAATAGTAAATGTGATTACTACTTGCGACGACAATCATAGGTCTTTTAGGTGATGAGTAGTCAGTGTAGTAGGAAGCGAGTGCAATAGGTTCCTCCATTAAAACATTTTCGCTGATAATACCAGTACCTTTATAGACTCTCAATCTGTGAGCTTGTTTTGTCTTTTTACTTTCTAAGGGATTCTTACTTGCAGTAGCTACCACAAGTTTGTAGTCTCCATCACCATTAATATCAGAAAACATCATACATTGTGAAAGAGAGGTAACGGAAGCAAGAGGATCATACCAAGCTAAAGAAGAACAATTAATTCATATTCTTATACAATACAATACAAACCATTTATCCAGACATGATCTTCGGAACTTTGCTTGTTGTTTCCCGTTAAACTTTTTGATGAGGCTGAAGCAGAAAGAGAAGCCATTTTTTTGAAATATTTGTATTTGTATTGGCGCCAAAAAACTACAATAGAACTGCGGGGGAGAATGACAACTTTTGAACAAGGTTAACGATTAATTTATAAATGTATAAATTTTCTCTTTTATCACACAATTTTTCGTTCTTGGGAATGAACCATTCGATCTTACTTGAACAATTAAAATATTAAAAATTAGTTTTAAAATCAAATAAAAATGTTATTCTTCATCCTCCAGCGCAACTGTGCTCGTGCTCTGCAGTAAATTTACTCTGCTATTCACTCTTGAATAGTCCTCATCTTCTTCCAAAGATGGCGATACACTAGAATCTTCTGCTTGACCATCAATAACAACAGCCTTGTTTTCTTCATCCACTCTTCCTTCCTCCAATTCTACTTGTGTTGTCATCATCTTGTTGCTTGTTGTTGATTCATCTGCTGCTGTTGCTTCCAGTTCTACTGATGAAGATCCTTCTGATGTTTTTGTTGTTGCTCTATTGTAGGCAACCTCTGCTTCCTTCTCCCAATTAATTCTAAAACGAATGAACAATAACATGCCAACAAATACAGAGAAGAGAGCAATGGCTAATCCAGACCAAATACCAACAAGTCCCCAACCAGCAACAAAGGCTAATACAGCTCCAATAGGTAAACCAATAATCTTTAAATTTGCAGGAATTAGTAATAGTATTGTGTGAACAACTTACGTAATAAGCAATGAGAGTACTGGCAGCACCAACAATTTGCTTGCCGACACCTCTAATGGTAGCTCCAGCAATTGCTTGAACACCATCAAAGAATTGGAAGAGAGCACACAATGGGAAGATAATGGAAGCATTGTAAATAATATCAGCATCTTGTGTGTAAATTTGTGGAATCCACTCTCTACATATGGCCAATGTAGTTCCAGAACAGAACATGAATAATCCTGAGAAGACCATTGATGCATAAGATGTATATTTGGCTTTGATTGGTTCTCTACCACCCATATATTGTCCAATTTTGATGGCTGTTGCAGTAGCGATTGATAAAGGAACCATAAATGTCAAGGCACAAATATTAAGAACAATACTATGGGATGCCAATGCAGTTGGTCCTAAGAAGGAGGAAGTAATTGTTGATAACTCAAATCCCCAAACCTCAGCCTTCATATCAATATGTTTCAAATTTGTTTTGAGAATAGAATAATTACTTACTGCTAACATGACAGAACCTGGAAGAGCCAATTTCAAATATTCCTTAAATCCATCCCATTTAAAAACAGCCTTAATATCAATAAATCCTTTCCATGTTTCTTTCATATAACCTTTGAAATAAATAAATACAATGTACATGACCAACATGATATATCTTGTAATGGTTAATGCTACTGGAGCTCCTACAAATCCAAGAGAATCAAATCCAAATCCAAAAACTAATAACCAATTCAATCCAAAATTAATAATTACAGAAATAATCCAAATAATGACATTTGGCATTAAAATATTCTGAGCAATTAAATACAGAGACAATGCCTCACAAACCACAAATGGAATCATACCAGGTGTTAAAATTCTTAAATAATTTCCAACTAGATCAACCAAAACTTTTTCCTGATTCATCCAATAGAGAGAATAATTAGCAAAACACAATGCTACACAAATTGGAATTGAACACAATAGAATGGTAAGTAGGGATCGTGCTAAAACGTGACCAGCTCTAATGAAATTTTTAGCACCAACCGCCTGTGAAACGAGTGTATCTTGACCATGAATTAATCCAACAATTACAAATCCAAGACCTATTTTAGAAATAGTTGAAAATTAAAATGAAAATGTTAAATAAACATACAGAAAAAGAATGAATTTCCCAAAGATGCTGCTGCCATATACAATTCACCAACTTTATCCTTAGTAATGCCTGGAATTTCATTATCCTCCAAAGTAATATGTCCAATAAAAGACAAACTTTCCAAACCAAGTAATTGAAAACAAACATTCATCACAACAGCAGGCCAACATAATTTTAAAACTTGAATCAGCTCATTCTTTCCCATTTTCAAGTGATTTATAATTCTTTGCTTTCTAGTCATGCCATCAGGAATATTCACTTCATTACTAGTCACTTCATTCTGTATTTGATTATTAGAAATTGCTACTTGTGCATGATCAGTCTCATCATTCACACCTTGTGCATTCAAAGTACCTTCTTGTTCTGAATCTTCTACTACTTGCTTGGAATAATCATTAGCATGATGATGAGAATTAGTATTGCATGATTCATCCTCCTCCAATGCAAGTTTACGATGATGCATATTGTTATTGTCTACTTGTTGTTGTTGCATTGTACTACTAACAGCAGATGCTATAGTTGATGATTCCGAAGTTATTGCATCCTCTCCGGAGTTCGCATCAAGAAGGTCGTCCTTCTCTTCATTCTTGTTGCTGATTCTTTTCTTTACCATTTGAAAAGTAGATGCAAAGGTTTTGTTGAAGGCTTTTTTTTCAAAGAATTCAAAGGCTTGTGAAGTTTGTGAATTGGAATGAGATCCATTTCTAATAATATAACAAATTTATTGGTCTAGGGTTGCAAGATTGAGTCAGAGGTGGCTACCATTTTAGTTACAACAGATTTTTTGTGGAATGCAATTTTGAAATTCTTTTGTAATTGATATAATAGTTTAATAGTTGGTTGATATATTTACAATAAATAAAATGATATTTTCTATTTTTGGAAACTGAAACGTCTGCGAGGAATGTTTTCAAAGATGAGAGCAGAATGAATATCCTCGACATCATCTAAACCAATCATTTCTCTTCTATCTAAATCACTAATCGGTTGGTCAATTGACATTCTTACTGTATTTGGATTGTTTACAATGGTTGTTGTGTTGGTGGTGGTTGTTGTGGTTGAACGAGTACCACTTGTGTTGAATGGGAATTTCATGTTTGTGTTTTTTTTTCTTGTTGGAATGTTTTCTCTGGTTAAGAATGAAAGAATTTGAGGTTTCATCTGAAAAAGGAAAATACACATTTTTGGAAAGTGACAACAAGCTCAGTAGGATAATCCATAGAGCTTTTATGGAAAATTAACATAATTGATAAAAAAACCAAATGTATTATACAATAATTTTTTTAATTAAAATGTGTTAAATTTAGGTTCAAAGAGTCCAAAGTGAGTAGTGGTTCTTGGTGGCTTCTCATGTTCTTGAGAGGTCAACTGTTCAATAACAGCAGTATTCTGGGATTGGTATTGGTGAGCCTTAATTACAAGTTTGAAACCCTCCTCTAAACCAATGTTTTGAGTTGCACTGCAACCTTGAACCATCCAATTTGGATTTTTCAATCTATTCAATTCTAATTTTTCAACAATTTCTTTGATAGAGGCACTATTTGGTAAATCCATCTTGTTTGCAAATACCAAAATGGTACAATCCTTCAAATCATCTTCTGATCCAAGTCTTTGAATGCAATCACAAGCATCCTCAAATCTTTCTCTGTCACAAGCATCAACAACAAACATGACAATTGAGGTGTTGGAATAATAGTGTCTCCACAATGGGCGAATCTTATCTTGGCCACCAACATCCCAAACAGTTAAATTCTTTCCACAACTATTCACTGTTTCCACATTGAAACCAATTGTTGGAATCTTCACAAACATTCAAAAACTTGCAAAGCGACTAATTACTTACTGTTGTAATTCTTTCTCCTAATTTCATCATGTATAAGATGCAGGTCTTTCCTGAAGCATCCAATCCAAGCAATAAAACTCTCAAATCTCCAGAGTTATTACGATAAGCTGATCTTGGTGGTCTATTTTCATTGTAAACATGCCACTCATCACCCATAACATTTTCTTTCTTGAACATATTTTGGCTGAGCTTATCTCTAAGTTTGTCCAACAGTTCAGTATTTTCATGTTTTTTAGCTCCAAATATGAAAATATTGTAAAATAATAGGTTAAAAGCTTCTCTTTCGCAATCACTCCAATCGTTTGCTAATAAAAATTTGCATGCATCTTCAAGTCTACTAGTATCAGCTAAATACCATCCTACAAGAACGCTCAATAATACTTCAGTTTTCATTGATAAAAACTTGCTACCCAAAATTCCCATCAATGTTTCAGCATCCAATTCAGAAAAGGCAATCAATGATGCATCGGTTTTTAGGGCACCAATCATTTTAGCAAAAGTCTTCTTGTTGTTTGTAATATCAACATTGACATCATATCCATTTTCTGAGAATAAATAATCAATAATCATATCTTCTGAAGCTAATTGAAGTTCTTGCATCTTTATCCTGAAATCTTCTAAAAAGTTTGTGATAATTGGTTGGTCATTGTAAACTTTAGCAGCAACAACACTTGCTGGATTGAATCCAATAAATTCATAACACTTTTCAAATACTATCTTCTTGCCCTCATTTGAAATAGTTTTACATTTCTCAATAATAATCATGGCAATCATATCATTAACAATATTTGCAATTTCTACTAATAAACTTTCAACTTGATACTTGTCTGCTATTTTAATCAATTCTATTAATTGTTTCAAATTGATCAATCCAGCATCTTGTTGAGAGGAGAATTTAGATGATTCAACACCTAACTTTCCTTCATGAATAAATGTTAATACATGTTGTAAATATTCACCTTGACTCTCTTCAATCACAACTTCCGATGATGAAGACGAATCAATTAATTGTTTCAATACACTTGAATATTTACAAACAAGTTCCTTATCAACTTGTAAAGTATTTCCATTAATAATTAGCGAATAATTTCTATTGACTACAAATTCATCATCAAGATCAAATCGGAAAAACATTGAATTTTGAACACTTTTAACAAAAGCAGTATCAATGGCGTCCATTCCACCAACTTGAAGAGTTGTTGTAGGTCCGAATATCTTTTCTTTTGTTACAACGGATGGATCACAATACCAATGCGATCCCTTCACTTCTACAACTTGATCAAGATGTAAATTTGCTATAACAGCAGCACCATAATTAAGTTTTGGATTAATGTAGGGAGTGGTAGGGATGATTCTATTGTTGAGCATTTTTTTTAAAGTTCATCTCTATAATTTTTCATGATTTTTATTACATCGTTGAGTCCATGATGACAAGGATGATGAGGTGGAATTACTTGTTTACAATTTTCTGTTGTTCAACTCTATTCTTATCACTTTGAAATCTTTGTTTTTCAAACTCTTTTAAAATTATTAACATTGAGCTGTAGTTAGGTGCACATTTAATATATTAGTATAATCTTCAATTTGAAATAAAGAATCTCATCTTGGAAATGGTTTCTAAAATTACACAATTTCTGATATCCCATTCTTTCGCTCCATAGCAGTATTTTATTATTTACTATTCCAGCCAGCCAAAAGAAGATTCTTTTATTTAAAATGGTGCACAAAAAACCGCTCGAGTAATATTCGATTTTATTCATTTTGTACTTTTTTAAAAACCGTAGATTCATAATCCCAAAATTCAATCAAATTGCAAAAATCAAATCGATGGTAAATTGGAGAAATACAAAACACCACTCTGCTGCAGCACTATTTTTAATATTTGACAAACATTAGGCAAGTGGTACACCATAAAGGACTACACAAAAAAGCTGTTCAAGCCTTCCTTTTAAAATTTCCATAAAAGAGCAAAATTCGTTTCATTGCTTTGAAAACAATTCATAAAAAAAGCCAAAACTCATTCAACACACAACAACAACAACAATCAGATAACACACATAATTTTACTGCCACACAATGATGCTTTCCAACAATCAAGATATCAGCACTCATAGATATTTTGGAGATAATGATGATGAGGAAAATTCATCATCTTCACAATCACCTCCATCTACAAATCAACAACAGGATAATAATTACTTTTTCTCTTATGGACGTTCATCGTCATTGATTTCTCAACAAAATAATCATAAACATCATTCGAATCATCATTCGAATAGTCATCATACCTATAAAGTGTTAGTGAGTGGAGGAGGTTTTGCAGGTTTAGTCTTTTCCTATTATTTACTTCATTCATTGAGTCATAAACACAACAATTTACCAATCGAAATTACTATTGTAGAGAAGGCTTCAGTGTATAGGTAAGTTTCAAATAATTTATTCGAAAGTCCTATTATAATTTCAAACTATAGACAAGTAGGTGCCATCATAACACTAGAAGGAGAACAAGTTATAAGAGCTCTCAAAGAAATGAATCTAGAAGAAGAGCTCCATCAAATTGAAATTCCAAGATCCAAACAACATTTCTACACCAAGAATGGACGTCACGTAAGAAGTTTTGATGAATCTTCAGTTATTAAATATAAAGAAGAAGGTAGAAGATATGAAAGACATAAATTTCATGAGATTTTAATGAAGAGAATTAAACCATTAATAGTCCGACGAGATGGAAATTTAACCATTCTTTCCAATGCTAATTTACATTCGAATAGTTCAACACCTTCTTCAGATGATGAACTTTCCGATGATAAACATTTCAAGATGAATAGAGTAATTTACAGTATGAGACCAAGTTTATTTAACAAGGAAAAGATTGAAGTTACTCTAATGAATAAGAATGATTGGTTGCATTTACAATATCAAAAGGAACAACAAGAAAATATTCAAATGAAGAGATCAAGTTCAGTTTGTAGTGTTAATTCACCACTTAATACTAGAATTTTGAATGATATTTCAAATTTAGAAAGGAAGGATAGTCCTACTAATAGACTTTCAAAACTTCACAAGAGAAAGTCAACTGGTTCTTCAGGAGATTTGCAACAAATGGAAGAGGAAGCAATGAAAAAGAGCTCAACAACAACACCAGCAGAAATTGCAACACCAAACAGTGCAGGAAAGGAATCAGCAGGTTGGAGAAGATTTTTCCAAAAGAAGGAATCAAATGCTCAATCTCCATCACAAAAAACCAAGTCCGATAGTTCAAGTAACATTTTACTTGAAGGTAGTCCAATGTCTGCTCCATTGAATACTATCAATGATCCAAAGAGAACTTCAATGAATGATTTACTTGTAACTTTCAATGAAGGTGATTCGTTTGAGAGTTCAGTTTATCAATCGACAGAAGATCGTAAATTATATCAAATAGAAAGAGAAGAATATGATCTAGTGGTTGGGTCTGATGGTATTCACAGTCAAACTAGAGCACTAATCTTTGGTGATGAGAGCAATTTTAAACATTTTTTGGGAGTTGGATACTTTTGCTTTATTGTTGACATGATTTTGACAGAGGCAGATGAGCAACAAGTGAGTGAAAAGTATTGGAATAATGTTTATGGATCGGAGAAGAAGTCGACAGAATCTTTTGACCCAACACAAATTAGTGGAATTAAGGGATTAGAACCATTGACACCCGACAGAATTGCCAAAATGAAAGAAGTTTCTAAGAAACTTGCCGAGTTAATCAAAGATGGAGAATCTAGCTCAGTTTTGTTAAATCATGGACGTTATATGAATGTGCTGAGGTATGGTAACAAGCTTTCAGTATCATTGGTGTACAGACAACCAAAAGAAGAGGACATGTTGAAAGAAAGCTCAAGTTACACTGTCAGTAAGAGTAAATCATTTGTAGATGATGCACTTATTGATTCACCAAATGATAGCAAATCACCTTCAACTCATGAAAAGTGGAGAAAGAGATTTTCTCTATTTAGAAAACATACCGAATCTCCAATCAAGAATGACTTGGCTCAAGATCCATCTTCATCTGCTTCATCTTTAACAAATCATTTCTACTCATTCGACATTAACAAGTTTGAAGATCATCATGACAATGACGATCAAAGATCAGTTACTCACTCAAGTGACAGCTCTGAAGATCATGAGGAAGTAATGGAGGAAGAGGATGAGGAAATTGCTGAAGCTTTTATGGAAATGGTTAACGAGTCGATGGCCAACAGAGAATCAGCAAGCGTCCAAAACTTGGAAGAAAAATGTGTTACTCCAAACTCAAACAACAGCAGCAGTTCACCAACAAGCAATGACGAAAAGTCTCCAAATGAAAAATCAGAAAAGAAACAAAAGAAGAAAAAGGTTGAAAAGTCACACCACTCAAAGACTTTCTTTATTTCAGCTGAAGATAGAAAGAATTTCTTAAAGAACAAGTTTGATGATTGTGGATTCTTATTCCACGACATTATGGATCTCGTTTTTGATAGCAGAATCATTTACTATGACGATTTGGCTCAAATTAGAAATTTAGACAATTGGTACAAGGGCAAATGCGTACTAGTTGGTGATGCTTGTCAAGCTTGTACTCCATTGAGTGGTAAAGGTGGTGCTTTGGCCATTGTTGCTGCTAAAACTCTTGCTTTGGAATTGAGAAATGTTTTAGAAACCCATGCCTCGACAGAAGGTGAAGATAATTTACATACAATCCCATTGGAGAAGAGTATTTATTTCGATAGTTGCTTACAACAAGCTTTTGAAAAGTATGAAAATGCAATGCAAGAAAGAATTAAAACAGTTCAAAAGAAGACTGTTTGGGAAGGTGTGGATGTTTATCTAGCAAAATCAGGAGTTAAAAGAATGGTCAGAGATGGTGCTCTCAAATTCCTTCCAAAGAGTGTACTTCTCAAGTTGACAAAGAAAGAGGAAGAACAAGGAAGTACAATTATTGTAAAAAAGTAAATAGAGAAAATAAATCAATTTTTGAATAAGATTTTAACCTCACTCAAATAGTAAGATATGGCCGAAATCCAAAGCAATGTTTCAAACCTGGTATGATTGGGAAATTGAAATACAAAATCTCATTCTATGTAAACTCAAAGGTCAGAACCTTTGAAATGAATAAACAAATACTAAGGGAGGTCTGACCGTTTTATGACAATTGTTTGAGAAGATAAAAAAGCAATTGTGCCATCTTTCAATTAATTAATATTTAAAAAAAATGTTAAAAAGACTTGTTGAAGATTTTGATGATCCAACAAGTGAATTTGAATCAAAGAACAAAAAGAAGAAAATTGAATCTAAACATGAAAAGTTTTCACTCTTCACAACATTATCATCATGTATTCAAATACTTGATACAATTCTCTCCTATGTAGATTCTCCATGCCTATTATTCTTCCTCTTCAAATGTTCATGAAATGAATGATAAAAACAAACAAGCAAAGGCAATGTTATATAGACTTGATGGTTTTTTACGTAATTTATATATTGCACAAGGTGTGGAATTTAGTCATCCATTGATGATTCATGATATTGAGGAAACATTGGGAAAGGTGAATTGTCATTCATTGAATGCTCATAACTTTTATTTCAAGAGTGGATTGATTGAAGTGTTGGGATTTTATTG